TCAAACACACCAGGTGTTGCAGATCTCCTACTTACGAAAATTTGCGCGAAAATTCATGCACTAAAAATTCAACAAGCGCAAAAATATTTCGGAAGACTATCGACAACATTTTATCACTTGTAAATACTTCAGCTGATAGGAAGGATTTTCCGCTGTTTCACTCCACTAATATCGCAACACTAAGAAGGGACTTGGCACAATGTTTGAAGATAACGATACTTTACATATCGAGGACTGATACATAACTAATCATTACTAATTCATGGTAATACAAAATGTTGTTGAATTCTTAGTTGTGTTTACGACTAAGCTCGAATTATGAGCCTGAGCTATTAATTTTCCCATAATGACTTTCCACGTTTAAATATTATGGCTAACACTTATTGCTAAGAACGATAAACGCAATCATTAAGGCTAAATATACTCACGAAAACTTTAAATTTCGAGATATGAAACATATATATGTCACAATTTTACTCCTTTGGCAGAAACTGAGATAATTAATTAACGCATTTGGAAATATTCGACAAACTTTATTATTACCCTTACCACTTATCTTACCAGTTCTGCTGCATAAAAAAAGAAATCTGACGTGGCACTTTCTTGCAGGCAAGAACTGAGCTCACAGGAGAAGTATGTGGTGGAAATGATTAGGGTGAAATTTCTTGCGCGGTAGAAATGAATGTAAACCTTTACATATAATCGATTAGGTGTTTTCACCGGCATATTTGAGTTAAGTAACTGTGATTATATGAAAATCATATAGCTAAACTGCGGATAAAGACGTGAATATGAAAGCGATCTTCGCATGAACGAATACTACTTGATCAGTAATGAAACTAAGGCCTGAAAAACAACATTCAGGCCTGAATAATGGATTTATTTATTACCTCACAGGTTTATTTGGAACCAATATAGTGACTAGCTTTCGGTTGGCTTGTTGACTCAGCCGGTAGAGCACTGTTCTACCGGAGGTCATGGTTTCAAATCCTGTACAGGCCTGAATTTTTTTTTTCAGAAAAAAAAACCTACAGCAATTCACTAAACTAGTTTTGTGCGCTAAAGGTTTCGCAATTTTTTGTTGTTGTTGTTGTTGTTTTTGACAAAGGCAAACCGAAAGAAAAGCCAATTAAGTTGAGTTTGAAAAACAAATGTGTGCGTGAAATACATATATCGGCAAAAGTGATTTATGATTCATGCTAATTAGGGGTCTCTCGAAACATCTCTTGGTCAGGTGTAGGATGAAATATGATAATTTGCGGTAAAAAACACACAAACTCAAATGTTTCCTTTGATGCGCGGTAAGAATATTCAACTGAAAATGACAAATTATTTCGGATCGTTAAAACACGGTAGGAAGAAAGTGGACGGTGTTTATTGATTGTTGCTGCCGGCACTCATCACAAGGAGGCGTTGTGAATGAAAAAGTAATTAAAAGATCAATTTGTTGCGTTATGGTAGAAAAGTTGCGAGGAAAGTGTGAATATATCTCTTTCAGACCTGAGAGTTCCCCTAAAGTTGCTGTTTTTGGAAAAATTGAACTTGCATCTTCCCACTTTTTATGCATTTGACTTTTTAAGTAATTCATCCTCATAAAG